CTCTCTGAATGACTTTACTACGACGATTCTCATCCGTCGTGGAACATGCTGAAAGTTGCGCACTGCTGTACGGCGATGTAGCAGCGACCGCGAGCCTCAAACTTCAGCTGCTCCGCTTCTACACATGCTTGGCTAACACATGCATCTGCTGTACCAACCTGGCGGTACGCCACAGCATCGGGGCGCAGCGAGATAGCCTTCAATTCCGTGCTCTTCCACGATCTTCCATGCCATGCCGGCCCACTCAACCGCAAGTCACAGCTGAAGGCTGACAAACGCCAACCTCGCCGAACAGCCGGATAGCAGCATCGTACTCGACTACCGCCTGGCAGAGCCCAGACCCCAGACCAGCTCGCAGAACACGAAGCCGATGAGCAGATTTTCTTTGTCAGAAGCTGAATCCAATACTATGCAGTACAACAGCTGTACAGTACAAGAGCAGGACACATATAACTCATGCAACCTTGCACCCCGAAGCAACAGGTGCTGGGGCTCCGAGCGGTAATCCCTAAAACCGCTAGTTTCTATTTTAAGTGAACTCCTAAATCATAAAACGAAGCGCAGGTAGAAAACGACGCGGAGGCAAAGTCAGGAAAAAGCAGCAGCGCCGTAAGCAAAACAAGAAGCAGGACAACCACGGGAAAAAGAGCTATGCCGACAACCGGGAAAAGGCGGCGGCTTCCGCTGGGCGCGCGCGGATGCGCGTGTATGTGTCAGGTTTCTGGCTTGCCAAAGCATCCAGCATTTCCGGTTGAACTGCTGGAAACAAGAGCCCCATCCTCGGGTCAGCTTTGAAAGCCACGCCACCGGAGTGCAAAACTTGGGAGGTGGATTCAGCCGCTGCATGACAGGGGGGAAGTTGCGTCTGCCGACTTCCGTCCTGCATTTCTCCACCAGTTAGCAGGCTGCGTAGGATGATGGCTGACGAACCATGAGGCGTGAAACGAGCTACCTTCCAGGCAACCCCTAAAAAACAGACAAGCAATGGTCCTGACGAACGCAATGCCTAAGAATGTTTGGTGGTAGGGAAAGCCGTTTGGTGACAAACTTCATGCAGTGAGAGCCACAGCCACCAAAGAACCCATAAGCCCAAAACACACCAGACACCGATGTTCCGAAAGCATGTTGAGATAGTGAGAGCATCAGTCGATGCGAGCAGCGGCATCAACAGCATCGTCATCATCATCGTCGTGGTCAGCAGCAATAGCTTCCGCAACCTTTTCTCAGCCAGAGGGTTGGCATGCCCATCGCAATCGAGCCGAGCCGAAACCACCAGAAAAGGATGAACACACGAACCCCTCGCACCGGCTGAGAAATGTAGCATTGGCGAAGCAATGTCGCGTGAAACCACTGGAAGCCTAAAAAAAGAGGTTGCCATTGCTTAGCATTCGCGAAGCACACTCCTGCATCATACAACCACGCACCACTCATCCTTCACAGCGAGGGTGGCTTTTTGTGTTGCAAGACGACAATCGACCGCGCCACTGCAAACACGGAGAGGCTCTGAGCCCGTTGAAATTATTTAGCATTCCCGAAACACAACATGCCAAAATCCGCCCAAACAACAGGCCCAGGCGTCTTGGGGGTCAGCTCAGATTTTTTGTATCCACTTCCCGCCCCCCCGCCCGGCCCCCTTCCGTTTACATTGTTTTTTTTCACCCCTTTTCCTGATGTTTTTCGGCCTCTCCTCCCTGACCCCGCCCTCTTTCCATTCCGCACCCAAACCCCTCCCCGACCCTTCCCATCCCTTGTTCTAAGGTCCAAAACAAAAAAGGCACACCTTCCGACTAGAATGAAACTGGCCGACCGTGACCTTGCTGCTACGGAGGCGAGGCGGGCGGCGTAGCGTGAAAATTAAAATAAGACTTTTCAAGTTGTTGCGTCGCGAAGCGAAATCGTCTAAAAGTGCTATGGAACGACAACGGAACCCCTACAATCATCAAGAAGGGTTTAACATGTGCAAAGCAAGATCGTGCCCAAACCACCACAAAGTCACAGACGACCCCCTGTGCAGAAAATATGATGACTTTCGGGGAATATTTACTTTAAGGGCTTAAACCCGAAAACGACGGCGGTTGTCAAACCCTCACCGAAAGAAAGCACCACATTTTGCGTTGCAAAAACGTGTATCTCAATATCTCGCTGGCGTGTAAGCACATGACTTTGGAGTTTGATACACCGACTATAGGACAAAGAACACCAACAAAGCCGGCCCTGCGACCCTCTGCGAAACGGGTTAAGCTCCGAGTGGGACTAACTTCCCCTCACCCCCTCATCAAGTACTGCACGAATGAACATTTCGGTACAAGAAGAAACTTCAAATGTATTTCGTTGCTTGTTTTTCGCTGCGGGAGCAAGCAGGCAAGCAAACATGAGAGGCAAACCCTAAACCCTAGCTCTGCCACAGCGCACCCGCTAAAGTTGCTGGCAGGCGCAGTATTTCGGACTGTTTTCCTGCATCTAAAGTTAGTTGCCCCCGTCGATTTCACAAGTTTCTGAAGCGATTCTGCTTCAGGAAGCGACCCAGCATGAGGAGCAGTGCTCTCGTGCTCCCGTTGTGATGAAAGCGGTTGCACCACTGATACAACAGCTCAGGGTTCGCCCGAGGCTCGTTGCCGGGAAGGCTAACAGCAAGGCCAGGTGGAAGGGACTGCTAAAGATATTTCCACCTGCTATCAATGGTGCCAGAGTGCGCCTGCAAAGCAGGTTTCGGCCCCGACGGTACACGTCCGCAACGGAGCCTGGGTCCCTGTCTGCGGCAGAGCGCAGTGCTACCTGAAGCCGAAGAACACGATCAGCCCTATCTGTCGGAAGACAACACCACGTGGTGAGGGCACCGAAGCGTCTCACAATCATGCGCTCATGCCAGCGTGCCAAGGCTTCCGTAGCGAAAGAGCGACGAAGACGTCCCAGTTCTTGTTTCAAGACTGAGGCCAAAGTAGAAAAGGAAAGAGCCAGCGAACGCCATGGCAACTCACCTTTGCGATTCTCTGTCAAGATGACTGCGACCAGATGGTCTACGCCAGCTTCGCAGAAGAGCTCAAACGTGTCCTGCAGCTCCTGCGCGCTGCAGGTCCAAAATGGAAACAGCGTGGCATGCAGGCACACGGTTCCAACCACAGAGTGGGAGTACCCTGAACCCACAACTCCAAACCCGAAACTTTCCATGAACGTCTTTGCTCGGGCAGTCTGGGAATTCTCTGCACCCGAAACCCTATACGAACCAAAGACTTGTACTCCAACCCAGCCAGAAGTAGAAACCCAACCTCAACAAACCACACAACCCCCTGAACCTAATCCCTAATCGGGCCTAGGGTGATTGGGCCCCTTTGTCTCATGAGCCCTTATGGCAACCATCCGGCACACTTGCTACTCTTCTTTGCATCGTTCCTTGCGCAGGGGTCATGCTCTCCGCAGCGTAAACCCTAGAGCCTGAACTCTAAACTCAAAACCCTAAACCGATATGAAAGTCTTTGGGCGAGGCAAGTTTGGGGCTTCGAGGCCTTTAAGGGCTTCGGGTTTCGAGGCCTTCAAGCGCTTGGGGTTTGGAGGCGTTTAAGGGTTTGGGACGCTGGACTAAGGACGTGTTTGGGGCTTAGGCTTGGCAGTGACTTTCTTGACTTGCTTCCAATGTATGTAATTTCCCTCCCCCCCCGTCCCCACCCCCCCAAACCGGGAAACCGCCAGGTCGAAACCAAGAGAACGCAAAAAAACACCCAAAAAACAGCCCCGGACTCTTAGAGGCGCAGTCACCTGAAACCAGGCCTTGGGGTGTAGAAAACACTAAAACACCTTATGCAGACGCTTAACCCTAAACCGCGGAAAGATCACACTGTCTCACCCGAAACAATAAGGCCGACTGCCAAACCAACGGCTTGCAAATCCTCCACGACTCCAAATGACCATGGGATACCGTGGCTGGCTTGGAGAAGCTCCAAACTCCAGATTGGAACCCAAGTGAACAATGACATTAGGCCAGCAAGCCTTCTAGTCAGGACGGGCTAGCAACCGCAGACATTAAAATGCACGAGAAAGGTGATGCATGGTGCCAGACCCGACACCCCGAAGGAGTGTGATCCAAGGCGAGAACCTGAACGCTTGTGGTACGAGGAGTGACAACTGACAACTGACAAACCTAGCTCCGAACTTGGCTGACAAGCTCCGAAGCGGCGGTTCAGTGAGACCGAACCCCAAGCTCCACACAAGTTCACGTGAATGAAACATAGATGACACGGCTGTGTTCAAAATTATTCCTCACTGGCGTACTGGTCTGCTTGCAACCCGCTGCCCAGTTTCAACTCCTGCCTGGTCGCCGAGTGCAGCCTCCGGGACTCAGCACTTCCAGAGCCCTCTCAGACCCCGGTGTCGGTTCTTCAGCTTCGAGCCTTCGCTTTTTGAATCTGCAGCTGACCTTGCTTGAACAGCCTTTCGCCCTGCTTCCTCAGTCGGTCGCTTTCTTCTTCTGCGCAGAGTCTCAGTCTGAGGTCCTGGGTTCCTGGCCTAGCTTTATCGTCCTCCTTCTCATGACCTCCATGCCTCTGGCTGAAAGCATTTCAGCATTGCTCACTGCTGGAATTGGAAAGGCCAAACACAAGAGGCAGGAACTGAGACCCTGGCTCCTTCATTCATTCGGACAAGAAAGGTCTGGATAAAATGATCACAGACGGTGCTCCCTATCCTTGCTTGTGTCACTTATGCGATGTCTTCTTGGATAGGCTGCTGATTCTCGTCACAGGGCCTCGGACACTTGTTTACCCACTGAGTATGATGACGCAGGCTATCGCGGCCGGGCCAAAACGACGTGTGTTGCATGCTTGTCATGCCTACACCTTTCGAAAGCTCGCGGAGGATGCAACAGAGCCAGGAGTCAGAGTGTCACATCAGCGGTGGTGTTTGTTCCGATCAATCCTTATGAATAATGTCAGCTACTCTTCTCAAGACAGTGCCTCCAGAAACAGTCGTTCTTCAGTCAACCAGAGGCTTCCAGCTTAGCATCTGGCCACAAAGTCTGGGCAGCACCTTGCATGCGGAAACACTAATCTACATGGCGAGACACTGTCCTCAGAAGGGCTTTGCAGCAACAGCAAGCTTGACGCTTCTTAGATGAGGTGTTCGACAGCCTGCTATGAGCAAAACCCGCACGAAATCGAAAATGGCCGGTTGCTCTGAGCTCCAGGCTCGCTCGCGCATGACGCGCTGACTGCAAAGGGGGCTCTTTGTGTCCTGGTTGAAGGACTATAGACCAAGGGTGTGCGATGTGTACTTGCTGCAACATGAATCCCTCTCCACTCGACTCACGCCCTGGTGCAGGGCGCAGTCTCGAAACAAATCGGTTCAAAAACCGTCACATGGGATATGGCTCCTCTCGATGCTGCTGTGAAGCAATGCATGGGTTGGAAGAGAAAGCTTTGTTGCAAAATGCGTGCGACGCTTGTAAAGGACTGCCCCTTCATGTCTGTGCACTGACCGGGCCCGCAAACACATGGCTCACAATGGTAAACCTCCGGTGCCTCAGAAAATTTAAGTGTCCGCTGAGTCCCTTTAGCCCTTTAGCACCAAAGTAGAGACGCAAAGAATATGATAAGAGTAATTATCAACGACTCGATCACTATGGCATGTGGTCATAGTCACCAGAAGAAACGGCATGTATAGTCGGTAAGGCATTCAGGACCACTTGTCTTGCTCAGATCAATGCTGTACACAACCTGCAAAATTGCTGGTGGGTTCAGCGGGCATTGCGGTCGGGGAGAGGAGCCCACTCGGTCTGGATTTCACATGTGTCTAACATGTACCACAAATTCCTACCGATGCTTGTAGAGAAGAAGCATGCTGTTTGACAGAAATACTCCTCAATCTGCAACAATGAACTGAAAAGAAAAAGGGTAGTCTTCGTGCGCTGCTCCATGGGCACAGTTGCTGCTTGATTCCACTGACAGGCTTTCTTCTCAAGGGCCTTGATGGTTATGGGTTTGGGATAGCTTCAGCAAGTTTGGGAAGCAGAACCTCCCCACCACCACGAGCCAGCAGCAGCAACAACACAATAATCACGATCAGCCACCACGGACATTCTCAACAGCAGCCCTTGAACCTTATCCACATCGTCATCAACAGCGTCGCTGCCACCCTAAACCCTAAATCCAAACCCAACCCTAAACCCTAAACCCTAAACACTGAAGGGTGGGATGCTCTCTGGGGCCTATATTTACCATGATTCCTAGATGTTAACTGTAAAGCATGATCAGCCGTCGTCCCCTGCCTCGGAAGCAACTGCAACGATGCAAACGAAATACGCACTGTCGTTCGTTATGACACAGATCATCATTGATATTGCTTGGCTCTGCTACGCATACTGCTTCTGTTTTGTATAGGTTCTTTGTTATACCAAATGTTACTGGTCCTGTTGCTGTTGCTGCTGTTATGGCTGTTGTCATTGGTGTTGCTGCTGTTGCCACCGCTATCCTTGCGGTTGCTATTCGTGCTGTTCCTACCGCCTGTTATTGCTGTTGATGTTGTTGTTGCTGTTGCTGTTGGTGTGGTTGCTGTTCCTGTTGTCGTCGACATCGTTGCCGTATGGGGGGGACGAATAGTTTTGGCCGTCATCATTTTGTCCGCGTGTAGGTGATAGGGCCTTTTGGGGTTTCGGGCCACGAGGTCTCAGGCTCTAAATAGGTCTTTTTCGTGCTGTTGACAGAACAGAAGATTGTGAACATCCTCGGCATTAGTTATGAGACTTGGACGGATTGCCAAGATCGATAATGCTACTGAGAGAACCAACAATGCTCACACTTGCTATTAAGTCCATACCTTCAACTTTACCATGTATACCGCAGCTCGTGTTGCGAAACTACCAGAATCCTTAACATTGCCAATCATAAGCTTGTGAGTTTTGCGGAACGTTTGAATTCCAAGGGCCCACTGTGGCAAGCAGATTCGGACACTACAGGTGTTGAAAGTAAAGCTGCTTTCATCATGATCCAAGCCCTGATCACACCTTGCGCCACCAAGACTGCCAGACAAGCATGTTTGTCCATGTCACCAACAGTGAGTGACATCATGAAAACCCATTTTACGACAAGTATTTCCAAGACTTTCTGTGATATCAGCATTCTCGCAAGAGCAAGGTTAAAGACTGTTGTTGCCTGTTCTCCCTAAAGCCATCCTGCAAAAGCTTTGGCAGTCCGCGAAGAAAAGTCACACGCTGCGCCTGTCAGGGACAGCACCACACTCCTTCGGCCATAAGATCCGAAAGACTTCAATCATCAGACATTACTATGAAAACTCTTGTAAGGAAACGGACGTCAAGATCGCTGCTCATGCCATTCCCAGGGCCAGGGCCTCGTCCTTTTCGTTGAGCTGTTCCAAAAACCGAATGGCTCGAACCTTTTACAGTACTGTGAATGGCTAAAGACATATCAGACCATATCGTCTGCAGAGCGAAAGCCCCTGAGACGACCACGTTGACGTCCATGAAAAACTCAGAGTTGATGAAGGCCTCGGAAGCGCAAGACGGATGGTCCCCTCTTCAACCTTCAAAGTCTCCGAGCGTAAGGCTGCAATCGTGAGTCTTTCAGCCGGGTTGGGACCTCGAAAGTGCAGGTTTGACCTGAAACTGAACATCTGGAGCTCTAGCGTTCCCCTGAGCCGACGGCTCAGCAGCTTCAGGAGGATGGGATACAGCTCGGGAGGAACCGCTTGTTGTCGAAGGACGCTCGTGTTGAAACCTGACGCATGCAGGTCGCAGGTCCTGCGAAATGGCTCTCTCGGACGTTCGCCGCTGCCTCGTGGAGCAGATCTTAACAGCGGCTGCCGATCCACACACATCAACTCGTACCTGCGGACAGAGACGACTTGCAGGCATGCCACGCCAAAGGAGCCCTGTGAACTCAACCTTTTTGATGCATGTCAGTCCACTCTAGGACCCTAGGACTGCCAGGGCGGCAAACCCTGGACTCCAGAAGCTTTGGATGCAAGATGTCATCAAACAGCGACTTTCCGTCTCAGCTTCGTCATTCTATCTGCTATCTAATCAGCATCCAAAGCTGCATAATATGATCGTGCCCGAAGGCAAGGATCAAGTCACTAACACTGGAGCTGAAACACCAAAGATGCGCGGGCTTTGGCGTTGGCCTGCAGCAGATCAGGTGAACTGAAACCGTCATCTGACGTGGACTCTGATGGAAGGGAATAGCGTTAGTTGCATCTCTTTTAGAGCTGGCGTGCATCCCCTGCCTCAGCTCCATCTCAAATCTCCGACTTGTCTTGTTTTCGTTTCTTTTTGTCCTTCTTCTTGTCATTCGCACCCGTGTACGAAGCGATAACCTCTTCGGCAAGAGACCTCCGAGCATGCAAACTCGGGAATGTACATCTTTCGAAACAGGCAAGTGCGATTCAAGACCATCCCAGCCTCCACTGCGTCGCAAGCTTTTGGGCGAAGGAAACACTCGCATCCCTAGCCTGCCCGGAGTGGTGACATCGCCGACGGGGATTTGCGACAGTGGCTGCGGCTGGCAGTCCTTCTGAAGGACTTCAGGCAGCTCATCTTCTACCTCGTCGGCTGCCATCACACACGCACACCATCGCAGACCATCGCACACGCAAGCGCGTTTTGTACAGACGGCTCGAGCTGCAGGCTGGTCTGTAGCAGTGAGGCACTTTTGCTTGAACGTGCTCGTCATGACAACACCTTCGCGTGCTGTTCAAACTAACGAAAGCTCGTCCGACGAATTCCGACGATGAGTTCTGACAGCAGGCCTGACGAGTTTGTATCCTACGGCGGCAGAGAAGCCAAAATACCACCTGGCCGGTAGCAAAGAAGGTCAGCCAACCAGCAGATTGGGCCGGCGTCAAGGCGTGGCCAAGCAGCACAGGTAGAGATGCTGGCCCATAGCCAGACAGCAGCCAGCTGGCCAAACCTGCGGCTGACTGCGCCCACTCACAGGAGAAGAATCAACACCAGAAAGATGACACAGTAGCCACAGCCATCGAACACATCCTGCCTACAGTACCCAGCTGCGAGGTCAGCTTCGACCAGCCTCGCACTAAACGAGCTACCCTGGGACTCAACACCCGGACCGAGGGGAGTGCGCTTGAAGCCAGGAGCCGTCAGCACAGTCTCGATGGGACCCGGTCTCAGCACCAAGCATTGCCGAGGTCCGCAAGCAAAAACGACCCTCGGAGTCTGGCTTTGCCGAGCTCCGCATCCATTTCAGAAAGCTGGGCCTCATCAAGCAACCAAACCAAAGCACAGACCTGGAGTAGGATTTCAGTATAGTTCAGTAGTAAGCTCCTTGCAGGGAAGATCTCCGAATCTCGATTTCAACAGTCTTCTCGCTGGTGCGAGAAAGTGCCTGGCCGACACAGAAGATGCTAAAGCCCCAGTCCACAATTCGCTTGAGGCCGCGGCATCCGTCAGACCTTTGGCACTGCCATCGACCTATCATCGCATCTCAGTATCACCGTGTGGGCCCGGCTCGTGAATGTCAGGAGCCTTGGCGATAGCGTCGCCGACCATCATCCGCTCCGATGAGTCTGCCGGGAGCTTGGAGTTATGCTCCAACCTGCCAGCTGCCACAGCTGCGGTGCACGGTGGGCAAAAGGTTGGCGAGATTGAAAGCACCCGGCACTGCACCATCAGAGATGGACTGCACGAGGACAAGATCTCCCTGAAGAGTGCTTTGTTGCTTGCAATTCGGCTGGCATGACTAGCAGACACATGTCTTCGGGCCTTGCCAGTGTCGGGAATGACCTCTACGCCCAGTTTGGCACCCTTCTTCCGACTGACTTTGATGGTCTTCTTTTCCTGGACATGGTTGACAGCACAATTGCAATCCTTCTTGACAAACTAGCGCTCAGCAGACAGCTCTGTGCCCCAGGCTAGCTTGCCACCACCTGTGCGACTGCTAGCACCACGGGTCGTGCCACAGAATTTCCGCAGCAAAATGAGGGCTGGGCGGCTCGTAAAGCACGATCCGGTCATGCAACTCAGCTCGGGTGCTTCAGGCTCGAGCACGTCACCAAGTTCGAGGGGAGAGATAAGAAAAACCGTGAACAGTTACGGAAAGCAGATCAGCAAGCATTCGTGCCCAAGGCCGCCGCTATGAGGGACTAATGCCAGAAAATCCACAATCTTTTCTGGCTTTCTCTTCTACCTCTTGGCACCAAAACTGATTTGTGAGCTGCACCAAACAAGAAGAGCGACCGCTCTCAAGATCCTACTGATCCAGCGAAGCTTCGCAGGCGCAGGCCTGGCATGGATCATAGAAAGCCATGATCCAACAGCCTCGGACAGGAGTGAACTTAAACGCCGAGGCCGAGGTCGGAGGATTTCCGCGCAGAAATCTGTCTGGCTGGTTATCTTAGTCTTGGCTGCTGGCAGAAGCCTATGAATGCGAGGAAGAAGACGACTCGCCTGGCAAGGTTCGAAGTGCTGCTTTCACCCAGAAGCCCCTGCACATGGTACAGTGACGCGGTATAAAGCACCGGTTTTCTCTCAGAAGCGAAGCGCAACTGCGCTGTCCGAGCCCGAGCTGTTCGAGGATGCCCGAGGGCCAGTTCGAGTCCATCAGCTCCAAGAGGTCACCGGGGGCCAACGCTTGGCGCTTGGCTCCTCTGGCGCCGTGGCGCTCTCTCTGCTGCGCTGTGCTCGGACCCGGCGGGCCCCGCCCTGTCGGTTCGGCTTCGCCCTCCTCCTGCTTCTCGTCTTCGGGGTCCTTAAATTTCCGTTGGCGCCCGAGAGGGCGAAACAATGAAACAGTCTCAGTCTCAGATCGGCTTGCTCGGCTTGATGCAGCTCTGGACGTTTGCGCTCTACAGGAACTGCAGCCCGGATCTTGCGTCACGTCCACTGGGACGTCCTTGGTCGTATGTCGAAACCGCCAGGTGTTGGGAGCACCGCACCGGGAAACACTTCCAGGCTGCCGACCTGTCGCAGACCTTGCCGACGACTGTTTATCACCGTCTTCCATTTCGAGCACTGCTTCAGTCCTTTGCCTGTGGGTCATCGGACATGGCATGAACCTAAGTCTGCTGTCAGATCGCGATGCGGGCAGGACTCTTTCTGACACTGCAACACTGGCCAACGTTATACAGTACAATGGGTGGAATGGGCAGACGGTCCGAGGCCCAAGCAATGGGGCTCGCAGCATGAACACGGCGTAGTTCTTCGGTCATATGCACACGTCAAGTCTAGGCGTGGAACTACAAGCTTACGGCAGTTCTGGCAAATCCCCGGACAAAAGAAACAAGAGGTGTCCTTCCCGATCACAGTTGGGGTTCCTTTCGGACCAATGTCAACCTTGTGTTGGAGCATCCGCTAGGCTGTTGCTGCATCAGGGGTGCCGAGGAGTGGACACACTCCATGTCTCTGGGAAGCGTGTATGTGTCGAGGCTCGGTGGCTCCTGGGTGTGTAAACGAAGTGGCCTGGCTCACAGAAGCCACAAGTTGCGCAAGTGTCTAGGTCCTTCCGTTTGGTGCCGCCCGTGAAGCGACGAATCAACACCGCTTCATCACCCAAGCATCTCGTGGGCCTCGGATGTGCCAAAACAGGCGCACCAAAAGATTCGAACGACACGTGGACTGACTGGACGTCCTCAAATAAGTCTGGCGACAAGTCCCCCAGGCTTTCTCGCGTGCCAAGGGTCTCACGGGCATGGACAGGACTGGCCCTCTCCGACCCGAGTGATGGCAAATTCTGCCAAGAACTACGTGCGCCTTGTTTTGAACGAGCTTCAAGTTTTCATAGACGTTGCACTGCAAAAGCGGCCCTGGCCTCGGAAAAAACACCCCTTTCTCAGTGCATGTCGCAGGGCATGTTGACTGCAGCATGGATCAGGGAGGCTGCCAGAGCAAAACCGAAAATTGGGCGACATAGCTGGCAGCTTGTATCATGCCCGCATCATTTGGCATGACTAACAGTTTAATAGCCGAAGTCAAGGAGGAAGAAGCAGAAGGAGTTTCGTTGTGGTCATCCATGTGCTCGAAAAGCTCGGCCCTCGACGGGTTCTCCATGAAGTAACCCTCTGCTTCAGGAGCTTGACCAACTGGAAGCTTGTCCGGCTCGGTTTTGCTTTTCTCAGGGCAGCGCAAGTCACTCTTGACGGAACATAGTGGCTCTATCCTTACATACATTGACTCTCATGCTCAATTTCTTCACACCGGGCCTTCCTGCTAAACATGCCGGAGACAAACTTCATGGCCATACTGCCAAGAGAAACGTCTTCGGCTTCCAGCTTTGGCGGAGGTGTGCGATGAGAGAAGGATCCGTACGGAGGACGATACTCGCAGCAGTGATACCACCTTATCCAGGGGATTGAACTTTACGACCGAATCGTGCACACACAAACACACATGACGCTCGTGGCTTGGAGTCGCACAGGCCGTCTCGTGAATCATGAATGTATACGACCTGCCGAATATGCATGCCAGAGACTGCGCCATTGCAAGCCGCAAGGTCTGGACTTCCCACCCGCTTCACGCGCTTGAAAGGATTCTCGGTCTCATAAGGGACGGCGCAGTCGCCCGTAATTCTTAGCTCTGGGACATCACATGCTGCAGGGCGTGAAAGCTGGTTCAACAACACAAGCTTGTCTGTCAAGATCGTGCCTGTCTCAAGGCAAGCAACTCGGATCCGAGAACCTCTTTGACCACGAAAAGATCCCGGATTCGCATGCAATCTGTCAGGGACAAGCAGGCGAGTCAGATTGCCCCACAGTGTCTTCCACAGCGCCTGGATCTAAGCTGTTGCTCGACTCATTCGAGCAGTCCTGACCAAAGCTCAGGTTAAGCCAGCCTAGTCACAAAGACAAGATCAAACATGCTCAGAATCTTCCAAAACGAAGCCGGTAGTCAGCCCCATGAATAGCACTTCAGGCGGCTGCAGGACATGTAGGACATGAAAACATACTTGGACAGAAATACACCTCTTTAATACACAACAAAGATGTATGAAGTCAGACCAACAACCAGCCGTGCAACATGCCCGCCATACAAAAGGCTTGGAAAAGAAGCTTCGAGGCTGTAGCGAGTGCAAGTTGCGGAAACAAGAGGCGGGAGAGGGTTGGTTCGGCCATCACGTACAAACTCGGATAGTGAAACGCCGCAAGATGCGGCGGCTTTTCCACTGATGCTGCCTGTCGTGCATAGGCAATGCGAGAACAGGGAGTGGAGAGTGGGCAGTTAGTGAGGAGAGCGGAGATAGAGTAGGGAGTGGGGATCGAGAGTACTGAGGAGTGAGAGTGTGGAGTGGTGAGTGGGGAGTGCGGAGCGGGGGAAGAGGAGTGAGGGGGAGTGACAGGGAGGAGTGAGTAAGGGCCAGCATCTGCTGTCTAGATCGGACAGTCTTGGGCTTCTGACCTGCCGACTTGCAGCACTCGAACACCCAGTCCTCCTCGAATAATGCCTTGCATTGCTAGGAGACGTTCCTTCTGCTCTTGCGTTGCTGCCCCTGCTGTGGCAATTAGGTGTCTGCTCGAGGCAGACCTTTCCTGTGGATAGAGTCTTGAACTGACAGCTACCGCCAAGACGAAGCACTCGACTTGCCGAGACTCACTGATGGCACTTGCAAACCTAATCAGCTTTCAACTTCAGCAGTCCAGAACGAAGGAAGTCGGAGAGCTGAAGGGCATCGCTGTCTTGATGGTCATGCAAACTCCTGATGGCATATATGGCATCGTATATCGAGAAACTCAAACTGTTGCTATTCAGGCATGCTCCTCCAGAGTCATCTTCGTCAAAATGGTAGACCTAAGCGCTCTGTACTAACTTCTGCACATCCCAAACATACCCTCCCAACCAGAAGCGAAATGTCGGCAGCATGTTGCAGTCGAGATGCACATGTCCCACCATGAGTTCACTGTCCATGGGCGAATGGCAAGGAGGTTGTTGGACAGAGGGGCTCTAAATGATCTTGCACTTGTCTGCCAAGCTACACGACTTCCCAGCGGAGACTGAATGCACGGCTAGATTCGGCTAGATGGCTGCGCTAGCCACAACTGCACAAGCGGCATGCAGACATCTGCAAGTAAGAAGACAAAGAAACGCCCCAACAATGACACCGGCCTAGCAAATAAATCACATGGTAGTTTGGAAAATCTGATGATGTTCTACAGCAGAACTGGCCATTCCAACGAGGAAACTTGCATGACATGATCACATCCACGACATGCTTGCCTCAGATGGCAGACCGGAAAGCAGTGCAGCTGTCCGCCACGACATGTGTCACACAAAAGCTCTGAGAAGAAACAAAGGTGATACTGGCGGCCTGTGCCAACACTCTACATGTCAACATAAACAAACATGAAACTATGCTGACAAACGAAGCAGCAAAAGACAGCAACAGCAGCAGGAACCGCTTCAATAAGAGGAGAAGATGAGAAGCAACACTAGCAGAACCACATCAGTGGCCCCAAACCCGAGGGACTCAACACTCAAACTTGCCTCCTCGGTCTGAGTCTCGCAAGCAAGCCAACGGGTGCTTCTTGGGCCTCTCGATGGGCATGGACTCCGTGCCCCAGAAAGCACGAAAAGAAAACCCAAACTCCCAAAGCTCCGGCCTCGCTGGAGTTGGAGTTCCCTTCGTCTCCTCAAAGGCCGGGGCCGAAAGCGAAGCGACGGACGTCACGTGAGCCGAGCCCCGGCCTTTCTCCTGTCTCTTTCCTGAAAAGCGTGGGACGTTTTTGCCGCAAAGCACCGAACTCAACCCCGGCTCTCCTTTCTCTTTCTTTCCGCCATCGCCTCGGTGCCAGGGCAAAGCATCGTGAAGCAGGGAAACAGAGCATGTCGAAGATGCCCCCATCGGGGCTTCGAAGTCTCCGGTCGTCGTTACACTCTGCCAAAAACATCCCTGCAGCCCCTGCCAAAACTCAACAAATGCTCTCATCATGCCGTGCTGCTACCCATGATGCCAGCTCCTTCGCTGGGAGGGAAAACTGATTGGACTGAGCCGAAAAGCCGACCGTTGCGTCAGCCGGCAGCAGCCATGATCCAACACACAAGAACCACCTCCGCACACACGCATGGCATCACAGATGAGGCGATGGGGCACGTAAGCAGCCCCATGGCAAACATGTCTGACTCCAACCTGAAGCGGACCGGAGGGCGGGAAGCATAGTAAGGATCTCAGTGATTCCAAGGCTTGTGCCCACATTTCCCAGGAAACGCGCACATCTCTGGCGCAGCATACCTGTGCACTGTGTGAACTGTCTTGCACTCTGCAGCCCAGAGAGCGGTCTGACTCGAATCGTCGAATCTTGCCTAGGAGGCGGCTCAAAGGATAAAGTTCCCGGCGCCTCGAAGACTGCGGCTGCGGAAAACGCAAAGTCTTTCCCCGACCGCACCTCCTGTCCGGAGAAAGTGAAGGGGCAGTCCATCAGCTGCCCCCACTGCACCTTGGAACGCAGAGGAGTTAAAGACGGCTTGTTTCACATGATCTCGCGGGCAGCCGCGCGCGACACCACAGACACAAACCCTGTAGGCAACCCATCTGCTACACAGACCTTACTGCACAGACGCCTGGTGCCGGAAAAACACGCGAGGCTTGCTATCCTATTCAGAAGTTGTGGGAGAACTCTGATGTTCTCGGCTTGTGGTCGGGATCATGCTGGTGGCTGAAACGTTGCATCTGGACTGCAGCTCCTTCTCAACACCTTAATAAGGTTGGCTGCTGGTATCCAGAGCTACGAGTGCTCTGTTCGATGACTTTGAGCTTCAAGATTCGCTGAGCCAGCATGACAGCATGACCATACTCGTTTGTAAGAATACCAGAAGCAAGCCATCTCACCGGTCTGTCGCTCGGCCTAAGTCTCGCAAGTCTTGATGTAAACGTTCTCTCGTTGCAGGTGCTTTCGTGGTAACTTTGATGAAGACGGAAAATGGCGAGTTCGTGGCCGCATCCGATGGGCTATGCAGGCAGCTGCTTGAACAGGGGCATGGAGGCCAAGCTCTGACAAGATCCAGTGCTTGAGCCTGGATATTTCGTGTTTCGTGGAGGCAACCTCAACTCTGGGTCCGACACTCCGCTGAAGGAAAAGCCAAGGCTGCCAAGCAACCACTTGCCCTGCGAAACGGGCCACGGCCACTTGCCCGGACCAGACCGTCCCAACAAGATTCACAGCTTCAGAAACAGCACACCCGAGCCTGGGGGTCTATGAAGATGCTGTAAGGTGAGAAGCCAAGATGTGCCGTCTTGGCATCCTGCCCAATGCTTCAGTGCAGCAGCTACCGGCCCAGCGTAGTCGCGAGATCACAGGCCTGGTGAAGAAACTGCATTGCCTCTGCCACGTCTAAGAGCCCACACCTAAGCCAACACCATGGCAGCTTGCAAGCCTGAAGGACATGCTGCGTCATTTTTTTCTTGTGCTTAGCTTCTCAGATCTTATTTGGAGCAAGGCACTTCATCTCCAGGTTGGACAGCTCGTGTCGGTTGTTCTCCAACAGCTGTGCCACCGTGCCTGGGTCAAGACACAGGCGCTCAATGAACGCAGCACTCCACAACGCAACGACATGATTGAAATCAACTGAAGCTCGAGAAACGAGATCCGTTCAAAACCCTGAGGTCGTCACGCGGGAGTGGACGGGCACAAAGTAAAAGTGAAAGAACAACTCTGGGGTCAGTGCTGCCCGTCACGCAAAGCATGAAGGGTGTCTTGTGCATGAACCACTGTTTACGAAGACGCGCGCTGATTACGCTGCATGCAGCGGAATCCGAGCAATCGATGCAACACGACCGAACGGGCTACGAGTCTTCGAAACCAACCCGCGGGGCAAAGAACAGGATCGGAGATACTCACTGACAAGTGTCGTTCGAACACGTGAGTCGAGCCATGCGCGAACATCGAACCGAATGAAGAATCGGCTGTCAACAGTGCTTTAGATGGCAGACTTCTACTCGACCGAGCCGGAGTCTGGATATCAGTGAGCTCTGGTGAGATATCTATTCCCACTCTCTAATGTACATGTGTATGACTTTGGCATGGCTTGAGAGTGAGGCCAACGACGGGCTTGGTCGCAAAGGCCAGAGTGCTCCTCTCCTCCACCAAGGCCTGCAAATCGAACACCGCGAGAACCAAGTTCTGGTCTCATCTTAGCACAGGAAACGCCCCACATGCGGTACACATGCACGCACACTGCTTCAGGACACCCCTGGAGAAAAAGACGGGCTAAGCGGCGGAGCCGCAAAGCGAGCAGGGGGTAGCAGCCCTACGTTCAACGCCCGAAGCCCAACAGGACTGACGGCCAGCAACACCCAAACCTCTGGAAGGAATGATGGTTGGCTATGCTCAAGCACGAGGGAGATCTAAGAACCATGTTAACCCTAGAAGAAGCGAGCGATGGTTGCAGAAAGACCTTGTGTCGGTAGTCTCCAGCTGATTTGACAGACCCCCGAGTTTTAGGACTAGGCTTCTGCCTCCTGACTTCGATTCCAGACCCTCCAGTTCTCCAGCGAAAAACTCGTTTCCCCATTCGGATCACCTCTGCAACAACGCAGTACCAAACCAACATAACCTAAAGCAATTGCAGCTTGCTAGCTCCAGATCACCAAGCTCCAGCAGGCCAGAGCAGTGACAACGCTGCAATTCCTGTGCTTCCACTTTTACGGAGATCATGCTGAGTTTCTGGACTTCCTCCAATGTTGCCGTAGCGGAAGCATCGCACATACTGCGAGGTGATTCTGATATGTCTGATCAGTCCAGCTCGCTCAAGCCAGCAGACAAGGAACAACGACATTTACTGGCCGATGGTGCTGCACCAGCAGCTTCTTCTATAAAGTTCAACAGAAGCGACATCAACCTAAAGTGTTCTGCAGCTTGCTAGCTCCAGCCCTCTAAGTCTTCAGCAGGCCAGAGCAGTGACAACGCTGCAATTCCTGTGCTTCCACTTTTACGGAGATCATGCTGCGTTTCTGCACTTCCTCAAATGTTGCCGTAGCAGAAGCATCACACATGCTGCGAGGTGCTTCTGATATGTCTGATCAGTCCAGCTCGATCAAGCCAGCAGACAAGGAACAACGACATTTACTGGCCGATGGTGCTGCACCAGCACCTTCTTCCATAAACTTCAACACAAGCGACATCAACCTAAAGTGTTCGCAGCTTGCTAGCTCCAGCCCAGCTCGCTCAAGCCAGCAGACACGGAACAACGACATTTACTGGCCGATGGTGCTACACCGGCTGCTTCTTCTATAAACTTCAACAGACGCGATATCAACCTAAAGTGTTCGCAGCTTGCTAGCTCCAGCCCTCTAAGTCTTCAGCAGGCCAGAGCAGTGACAACGCTGCAATTCCTGTGCTTCCACTTTTACGGAGATCATGCTGCGTTTCTGCACTTCCTCCAATGTTGCCGTAGCAAAAGCATCGCACATGCTGCGAGGTGATTCTGATATGTCTGATCAGTCCAGCTCGATCAAGCCAGCAGACAAGGAACAACGACATTTACTGGCCGATGGTGCTGCACCAGCAGCTTCTTCTATAAACTTTAACAGAAGCGACATCAACCAAAAGTGTTCGCAGCTTGCTAGCTCCAGCCCTCTAAGTCTTCAGCAGGCCAGAGCAGTGACAACGCTGCAATTCCTGTGCTTCCACTTTTACGGAGATCATGCTGCATTTCTGCACTTCCTCCAATGTTGCCGTAGCAGAAGCATCACAAATGCTGCGAGGTGATTCTGATATGTCTGATCAGTCCAGCTCGATCAAGCTAGCAGACAAGGAACAACGACATTTACTGGCCGATGGTGCTGCACCAGCAGCTTCTTCTATAAACTTCAACAGAAGCGACATCAACCAAAAGTGTTCCGCAGCTTGCTAGCTCCAGCCCTCTAAGTCTTCAGCAGGCCAGAGCAGTGACAACGCTGCAATTCCTGTGCTTCCACTTTTACGGAGATCATGCTGCGTTTCTGCACTTCCTCAAATGTTGCCGTAGCAGAAGCATCACACATGCTGCGAGGTGCTTCTGATATGTCTGATCAGTCCAGCTCGATCAAGCCAGCAGACAAGGAACAACGACATTTACTGGCCGATGGTGCTGCACCAGCACCTTCTTCCATAAACTTCAACACAAGCGACATCAACCTAAAGTGTTCGCAGCTTGCTAGCTCCAGCCCAGCTCGCTCAAGCCAGCAGACACGGAACAACGACATTTACTGGCCGATGGTGCTACACCGGCTGCTTCTTCTATAAACTTCAACAGACGCGATATCAACCTAAAGTGTTCGCAGCTTGCTAGCTCCAGCCCTCTAAGTCTTCAGCAGGCCAGAGCAGTGACAACGCTGCAATTCCTGTGCTTCCACTTTTACGGAGATCATGCTGCGTTTCTGCACTTCCTCCAATGTTGCCGTAGCAGAAGCATCACAAATGCTGCGAGGTGATTCTGATATGTCTGATCAGTCCAGCCGATCAAGCCAGCAGACAAGGAACAACGACATTTACTGGCCGATGGTGCTGCACCAGCAGCTTCTTCCATAAACATCAACAGAAGCGACATCAACCTAAAGTGTTCGCAGCTTGCTAGCTCCAGCCCAGCTCGCTCAAGCCAGCAGACACGGAACAACGACATTTACTGGCCGATGGTGCTACACCGGCTGCTTCTTCTATAAACTTCAACAGACGCGATATCAACCTAAAGTGTTCGCAGCTTGCTAGCTCCAGCCCTCTAAGTCTTCAGCAGGCCAGAGCAGTGACAACGCTGCAATTCCTGTGCTTCCACTTTTACGGAGATCATGCTGCGTTTCTGCACTTCCTCCAATGTTGCCGTAGCAGAAGCATCACACATGCTGCGAGGTGATTCTGATATGTCTGATCAGTCCAGCTCGATCAAGCCAGCAGACAAGGAACAACGACATTTACTGGCCGATGGTGCTGCACCAGCAGCTTCTTCCATAAACTTCAACACAAGCGACATCAACCTAAAGTGTTCGCAGCTTGCTAGCTCCAGCCCAGCTCGCTCAAGCCAGCAGACACGGAACAACGACATTTACTGGCCGATGGTGCTACACCGGCTGCTTCTTCTATAAACTTCAACAGACGCGATATCAACCTAAAGTGTTCGCAGCTTGCTAGCTCCAGCCCTCTAATTCTTCAGCAGGCCAGAGCAGTGACAACGCTGCAATTCCTGTGCTTCCACTTTTACGGAGATCATGCTGCGTTTCTGCACTTCCTCCAATGTTGCCGTAGCAGAAGCATCGCACATGCTGCGAGGTGATTCTGATATGTCTGATCAGTCCAGCTCGATCAAGCCAGCAGACAAGGAACAACGACATTTACTGGCCGATGGTGCTGCACCAGCAGCTTCTTCCATAAACTTCAACACAAGCGACATCAACCTAAAGTGTTCGCAGCTTGCTAGCTCCAGCCCAGCTCGCTCAAGCCAGCAGACAAGGAACAACGACATTTACTGGCCGATGGTGCTGCACCAGCTGCTTCTTCTATAAACTTCAACAGAAGCGACATCAACCAAAAGTGTTCCGCAGCTTGCTAGCTCCAGCCCTCTAAGCCTTCAGCAGGCCAGAGCAGTGACAACGCTGCAATTCCTGTGCTTCCACTTTTACGGAGATCATGCTGCGTTTCTGCACTTCCTCCAATGTTGCCGTAGCAGAAGCATCACAAATGCTGCGAGGTGAGTCTGATCAGCCCAGCTCGCTCAAGCCAGCAGACAAGGAACAACGACATTTACACGGCCAAAGCATGCACGGCGGATGGTGCTGCACCAGCCGCTTGTTCTTTCAAACTGAGCAGAAGCGACAAAAACCTAAAGTGCTGGCAGCTTGCTAGCTCCAGACCTCCAAGACTTCGACTTCAGCAGGCCAGACCAGCGTCAGACAACGCTGCTCTGCTTTCCGTTTTTACGCGAAGTTTGTCCGCACTTCCTCACATGTTGCCGTAGCAAAAACATTGTAGAGCTCCGCCAAGTGATGGAGAAATCGGCACTAAACCAGAAAGCTGAGAGTGGGCATTCAAAGGTTGCAGTGCCGACGCGAGGGACTTTCTGTGGATGTCGCTGTGTTTTATTTGTGAGGGAAGGTTTTAGGAGCAGCTGCAGAACCAAAGAACTACCTGTCCGGGGTCTGTCAGAAAATGGAAGCGGTTATTTCTAGACCTTATGAGTGACTGGTGGATGGCTTTGCCAATGTCGATGCACCAAATCCTGAAATCAAACTGATCAGCCATGTTGTTCGAGGCTTCCATCTGTCGTACGGTTTGGACCCCCGCTCAACATCAGATCATCACAAACGTGAAAGATCAGCTGCGAAAAAGAGCGCCGTTCGGCGTTGCCAGACAAGCTTCAGTGATAAATCCTGTAAACATGACCCATTGCCACAAGCATGAATCAAGGCAGCTCGTATATAGACAGGGCTCATGACCGCTGCGAGAGCTGATGCGCCTCGATGACACTGAGGATATGCGGGTGCCGAAGTCGCTGTAGACTCGTAGCATCCTGGCACATCAGACACCTGCTGCTTTGCAACAAACGAGCGCAAAAAGGAGGCAGAGGCAGAACCAAGTCCTTCTTCAGAAGCTCCACTATTTGCTCTTTCGCATTTTTGGCATACCTGGTGGAAACCAAAATGCGGCAAGCGACTTTTACGGCAGTCCTGAGTTCAGCACTTCTCTATGACCTTTCTCTCGAAAAGGAAGATGGTCAGTTTTTCCTCTGGCTTTTCCTGGCCGTGGCGATCGACTGCTGATGCCTCATCTTTCAAGAAAATCAGAGAAGCCTTAAAGTTCGCCGTGTGAAGCTTCCATCGAAGCTCGGGGCCTTGTCAACTTTCACACGAACACATCTCAGGCATCAAATGATCTTTATGGCCTTGACAGTACTAGGCTGAGCACTGTAATAGCAGGGCTCCTTCTGGACATCATACCTGCAGGAGCCCCAAGACGGACACAAGGCTCCAAGTCGAGGTACAAAAAGAAAAGCAGTGGAGCTGGGGCACTGCGTCAAGATTTTGTTCCCCATGCTCGGCCAGGACGCCTGCTTCTATCTTCCGAACACAGCACAGTCCGACCACTTTCGGTGTCTACAAGAGAGGAAACGTCAAAAGCGCCAGCGCAGGCAAATGCATACCAGCAAGTGTTCGAGTCTGTTGCAACATGCTGATCAAGCCTCGAGAAGTCGGTGGCAGAGACACCAAGGTACAGAGATCTGACCCCAAACTGGGCTATATCACATGCGTGCTTGCTTAAGTGATACGAAATCTGGCATACGACAAGCGTACGGGGAGCCACTGTATGTTCTGTGAATACCAGCTGCATGTCGATCTACTTGTCTGTTATACAGCTCTGAGCATCAGATCAATGCACGCAAACCGTGCGGTTTACCAGCAACTCAACGAGGAGCACACGAACGGTCAGGCAACAGCCTTGGCCAACGGCTGGAAGATGACGTCCGTACATGTTGAACCCAGATTTTCTTCCGGGGTGCCGCTCGCTGAAAACTGCGAACAAGATCTATGCTCTCTCCACCTAGGTAAAGAATTTGGAGCAGGCAGCACTGCCAAGCTGTGAAACCAAGATGAGCCAAGTCTTAGTGCTTTTTGGAGGCATTGAGTGCATGCCGCACCATGTTCCTGACCGGCAGTGTAGGTCGTGTAGGCAAGGCCAACAAGCACGCATTGCAGTCAGCCCAGACGCTCGCAGATGGGTTTGCCATCCCACGCGCCGACTATGCCACGATCAAAGGCCCAGCCCGTCTTTCCAGCCAGCTTCAAAAAATGCTGGCCATCTTTGCGAATCACATCCTCCACGGTAAAGCTCTCATACGGGCCAAGGCTTTCCCCTGTTGGTTTTGCTCCCACATCGGGAAGCTCTCGAAGCCGGATCTTTGTCAGTGACCGCCATGTCGCAGGGACCTCGAGCAGTGAACTGCGCTCCTTGCCTTCCACGTCAGGATCGAAAAGAGTGTCAAACTTCTGACCCTTTCTCTCATATCTGCCCCTGTACCTTGGACACACCCTGTACGCCTTCACAGGCGAATCATCAAAGACCTGCGCAAGGCCGCCCCGCAAGCGGCCGTTTCCATCACAGTCTTTTCGCTGAGCCTGGCCACAGCCTGGACATCTGACTATCCGCCGCGCCTGCACCGCAACTCTAGGCCTCCTGGGCTGCGGCCATCGATATCCAACAAATGCACTGTGTTCCACGACGGTCATCCTGGCAATGCCTAAGAAAAGGCCCATGCAGACTGCCGTACACCATCCATGACGGGGCTCACAGCGCCCACGTATGCGCTTTTGACAAATCATCGAGCTAGCCTCTCCTGTTGACCCAAGGTTGCTGCAACTAGGCAACTACAGTTGCACGGTGGCTGTTGAAGAGAGGAGACGACTTTGGAAAAGAGACCCTCAATCCAGCTTTTTCGGAGCCGCAAGTCCGTTGGCGAATTCTCTGCTCCTTTGCGCACGAGCTCAGGGTGGGAATGGCTTCTTGCTGACTTCAGATTCAAAGGGCTTATGCATACTGACCAGTGCATCTGCAAAACACTAGAGCGAGCTCCATCCTTGGAATTAGGCAGTTCAGTGAAACTGCCTGCGGTGAAACACTACCTTCCAGCTTCGTGGCACTGGTTTGACGGACTACTGAACCGCGGGCAGACTCTTTCATCCAGCTTTGAACGCCAGAACTGCCAACTCGTCGATGTAGAAGTAGACGAAGTGCTTGGTCTCGTGGGTAACATAAGACCCAAAGTTTCGGCCCACTATGCAATGCCAGAACGGCGTGTGACTTCTGTCCAACTCCTTCTTTATGAAGTTGGCGATGTCTTTTTCAGTGTTGAACCTGTCCATTGCTGTTTTCGCGAGCTCCACAACTTCGACCTGCAAAACATCGTTCATGTCTGCATTCTTGATTTGGACCTCAGCGGTCGCTGGCCAGAAACAATGTCTACAAGAAACCTGAGCTGCCTCATGCTGCAACTGAGCAACTTTTCTCTCGGTGGCCATTGCACACCCTTTGCAGCTTCACCCTATCCAGACAAACTAACTGAAGCTAGAGGCAACTCATGGCGACGTGGAGTCTCCTGTCTGCAAAAGTGTCATGCTTTAGCTTCTCTTGCAGTCTGTGCAGGACGCACCATGTAGGAGCAACAGCTGGCAAAACAAGCGAATTTTCCCAAGACTCCGCCGGACTTGCTTCTTCGGGAAACTGAACGAGGTCAACAGCCTTACATGCTGCAGCGGCATGGCAGGACATGCAAACTTGGCATGTTCAGGTTCGCCAAATATCTGTACGCGGCATCCTGATGGTAATAGCAACTGCAGCTCACTGCAAGCCGCTACAAAGCCATCTGGTCGGCGTCACTCTCTACGACTCTACGAGCTTGTCCTACCCCATCAAGACCTTGTCACGGTACACGCTTTCGATCACGGTCCAGGCTTTGCTGCAAGACCGCATCGCTCAGCCAGGCTCTGTGAGCATTTCCAAATCGGACACACTGAGACCGCTCGCAGCTGCGAGTTCGCATCTTGCAGGCGCTTACAGATGGAGACTGCATCACGTGTGTTTCCTCGAGCACCTGTCATTGAGGCAAGCTTGCTGCATGGACGCTTTCACCACTCGCAAAAGATCGGTAAGGCAAGCAAGTAGTGCTGCCTATGACATGTCTTTCATTGATCATTGATCCTTTTTGACCTGCAAGCAATGCTGTGCTCTCTAATCACTTCGCTAATTGGCATGTCAGATTCACTTCTTTTTTGAGGGGAGCACAGCTCCCTTCGTCGCAGGCTCCCTGCCACAGAAGGTGTCGCCATGTTTTATGCTGCATGACACCGTGCTGACCGCACCTGTCTTTGTCACCGGACGGCGCAGATAGGCCTGCCTGGAGGAGTTTGGGTTCTAGAGCACCAGCTGCGCTCAAAGCCGTGGGGTGCATGAGCCTCTTCCATCATGAGCTTCACCTCGTGAATTCAACAGCACAGAGCGCGTGCACGAGCCGGGAAGCTGTAAGATCTGGACACGGTCGGACTCCCACTGCCGATAGTCAATAAACAAGTGAACTGCCACCTGATCAGGAGTACGGCACCAGGGTTTGGAGGATGGTAGTACGCAGTGAGGCAGCCGCCACAAAAGCATAGAGGCCCAAGAACAGAAGTACGTAAAACCTGTGTCAGCCCAGCTTGCCAAAACCGACTGGCCGTGCACTTGCCCAGAAGGTTCTTAGTCCCTGAGTGGTTCCTCTGTTTTGTGGGTGCAACCGGACAATTTAGCCTGTGACAGCACGAGGTAGATTGCTTTTCATTGAGGCCGAAACCACCACTTGGTAAAGAGATTGAACTCCTCCGCCGCTATTGTCGCGGAGGCCATGCCTCGATCCAAGCACAATGCGGAAGTAATCTTCAAACGCAACAGCAAAGCGGCCTGAGCCTTCTGCCATGGCGGACAAGCTGTTTCTTTACAACTTGGTGCTGCTGGGAGAAATCGCAATGATTGTCTGCGATAGCAGGATGGCACGTGCTGTGGCTCTACATCCAAACATTGTCAAACATTTGAGAAATTTGAAAGGTCAAAGAAGTCGCCACTGTGTATGACACATGCATGCATCAAAGCCGGAATTGTTAAAGTGATGCTGTCAAAAGTCCAACACACAAGTAACGTAATGCTCTACCTGGTTCCATTGTGTTCTTCTTGGCAACCTCGCAGTATGGGCAAGGTGGTAAAGAGTCAGCTGACTTCGAACGGTTGAACAGTTCTTTCATGCTCACCGGGGCGACAACGAAAACAAAGGGTGGGCCACCGCACACTGCAACTGCCGTTTACGCCAGGAGGCATGGAACACCTCACGGGTAGTTTTACGAACTGCGAAAAACGCACAACATGTAGGGTTTTATGCTTACGACATCGGCGCCATCACACAAGCTCGCTGCAGGCCAATTGCAAAAAGCTGGCAACGGCATTCTGGAGCTAGCGGCTAGCGGCGCCAGCGTACCAAACCAGCCACACTACCACACTACCCTGCTGTTTCGTTTTGGCGTGTTCAAGGCGGCGGCTGTGGCACTTGGTTGTAGACAAGTTCAAACCGGAAACCCGAAAACCCAGGCGGGGAGAATATTGGCAGAATGGAAGTCCGCCAAATTCTTTGCCCTCGCCTCTGGCCTCCGCGCCTACCCCTTGTCCACAACCTCCCCAGGTCGAGCTCCTTGTCCACGCCTGCCCCCGCGCACCGTCCGCGCACCCGATGTCGCGCTCCCGCACCTTGTCCCCGCGCAGACCCGCGCCCCTCATCTCCTGTCCAGGCCTTCCCCGTCCCCGGGACCGTCCCTTCAAGTCCCTCCCCCTTCAAGCCCTTGCAAGTCCCCTTCAGCACTTCAATTTTTTTCAAGCTCCGTTTAAGCCTCCCCAGATGCGCACCTGGAGGAACGCGTCCACCCAACTTCCCGCTTTCGTTGGACAGGACTCCTCGCTCAAGCCCAAAGAAACAAATGATGTGTTTCAGTCCAGTAGGGTGAACATGCCCTCTGTAATGACGACAACGCAATTTCAAGTGTATCATTGACGGAATGGGTCTTTGCAGCTTCTTTTGGGAAGTATGCAATTCGCGCGTCAGCGAAGATCAGGACTCCATTTCTTCGTAACAAGTCCAGCGCCAACGGATACACATGCTGCCTGAATGTTGCTCTGATATCTCGTCAATTCTTCTTTTTGGAGGCGGTTCATGGCCATGAACCAGTCTGCACAGGTCAGATGGTACAATTGAATCGAGCTTGGCAGCAACCTGGTGCCGCAAGGCAGCTTCTGCAATGCGACAAATGATGGCGCTTTTGGGTTGCGCGGGTTCCACACTGGGCGGAACTGAAGGCAAGATTGAGCTGCTTTTGTCGGCACCATCATTGGAATTGGAAGCAAAAACACGCGTGTCGTCGTTACCTGGCAAGCTCTGACTTCTGCACGAGGGAGCATGGGAAACGGCCCTCGTCAGGATGTAGTCGTTGGGCCTGGCTCTCGTCGAACTGGCGGCTCGGCGGG